CAGGCTCCCTGTATCTGGGCCACATGTCAGTGAGTTATTATTACACAGATAGTTGACCTACAGTCCTTAGCCTTCAAAGGAACGGGCATGACTCATCTGAGCTCCCTGGGAGCCTTGAGATTTTATGGCTGCGATGTTTGATCAGTGTGGTGTCAGTAACCCTTACCTTTCCCCGATTCTCTCCTACCTATTTTTCTCATGGTCTCCACCTCTTGACTTTTCAACAAAGTGCTCCAATGTCTGAAAGAATGTATAAGAGCCTAACCTGGATTGTGTTAGAAATCAAGGATTGTGACTACCATTTTTATTCCTCTCCTCTTTGTGAAGGGAGGGAGGCAGACAGCTGCCCCAAGGTCAGTGCAAGAACAAAAGGAAGGCAGGCACAGGGAAAAGACACTGTGGCAGGAAGAAGACCGCTGGGAGTTCCAAGTGAAGGAGGAAGGAGGAAGAAACTCCACCAGGGCAAGGACCCCACCCCGCCCTTTCAGTCTGGATGAAATAGACCACAGGACTCGCTCACGGCAGCAGGGTCATCAACTCTCAGGGCCACTGCCTTTCACCTCCAAAATGAGCTTGGCCAGAAACACCCTGCAATGAGCCGAATGGCGTGTATCGAGTGAGGTGCGTGGTCTAGTCAGGGACACGAAAGCAGCTGACAAATTACAGTATGATTTGTCATCATCTAAGAGCTTGGCAAGTGTTTGTCCCTGAAAGAATCGATACCTGCAGAGAAAAGGACCATATATTTAGAAACTCCTGGATGGGTAATTTATTTCAAGTGAGCTGAGAGTTTATTTATGTTGATGCCTCCACAGATTCAATGGACAGTATATTTACACGAAGCAAGAAAATGCTATCATTTCTTCAAATCAATTTCCTCCTTTGAACAGCTGTACTTTGAAGATCTGTCAGAATAAACTTTAGCAGAGATAAACTTTATCAAAGATAAGCTTATGTCCTTGTGCCAATCTACTGCCCAGAAAACTTTCCAGTTCCATATTTAGCACTGTTGTTGTTGTTGACTGCCAGGGAGTCGGGCACAATTAGAAGCCTTTCTATAACTGTCGTCATTTCTCAAAGTTCATAGAGTTTCCAGAGGCATGATGTTTAGGAAGTGGATGCCACTTTTGTATATCATGCTATACAACTCAAACCTTTCAACATGGATTTTATCTCCTGAGGAGCAAAAGAGATGAAGAAGGCAAGCAATGTTGGTCATATTCTAAAGTGGAAGAAACTGAGCCTCAAAAAGCGGAACATAAGGTTCGTTACTGTGGAGTAGAGTTCTAAAACAGTATCTCTTCACCTGCAGCTGTGTGGCTGTATACAAATGACCCAAGAAGAGCTTGTGCAACTGAAATACCTATAGAAAACAGAGGTAGACTCATTGCCATCCAGTTGGAATCAACTCATAGCTGAGCCTGTTGAGGCTCTAAATTGCTTGGGAGGAGATTGTCCACTGTTCAGTGGCAGAGCAGCTGGTGGATTCAAACCACCAGAGAGGTGCCCCTCTGGAAAGAGCACAACTCCCTATGGATTGTGCTACCAGAGCATACTGAGGATGTGTCTAAAGTACCTGGCTACAAGAATGTTCACCCAGAGGCAGTGTCCTATGCAAGGAATGAAGAGTCAAACTTGGATTCAAGTTCAGCCCTAGTATATCCAGGAGCCTCCTACACATCTAAGCCTCAGTTTTCCCATCTCTATAAGCTCAACATCAAGAAAACAAACATTGTCACCACTGGGTCAATTAGCAGCATCATGATAGATGGTGAAAAGATTGAGATTATCAACAGCTTCAGCTTGGTTGGCTCCACAAACAACACTCTTGGTACCAGCACCCAGGAAATCACATTTGATGTGATGAATTGCATTAGGAAAATCTGACAAAGATCTCTCCAGAATACTGAAGAGCAACAATGTCAGTCTAGAAACTAAGGTGTACCTGATCCAGGCCATGGTTTTTGCAAGTACTTGTTATGCATCAGAAAGCTGGACAATGTATAAAGATGATAAAAGAAAAAAGCAATGCCTTTGTGCTGTGGTGCTGGAAAAGAGTATTGAATATACCACTGAATGCTAAGAGAATAAATAGATCTGTCCTGGAGAGAGTGAAACCAGCCTGTTCCTTGGAGGCAAGGATTTTGAAGCTTTCTTCTGACATATTTTTGAGCATGTCGCAAGGAGAGGCCAGTCTTACGAGAAGGACATCAAGCTTTGAAGGGTGGAGGGACTGAGCAGGAGAGCAAGACCTTGGATGAGATGGATTGAGTCAGTGATTGGGGTATTTTAAGGTAATTAAGGTGGGCCAGAGACAATGAAATTGGCTCAAGATAGAGCAGAGTTCAGAGCTGTTGTACAGAGAGGGTCACTAGGGGCTGCAAGTGACCCAATGCCACATAACAACAACAAGGAGTCCTGGTTGCATAGTGGTCAAGGGTTTCAGCCACTTACCAAAAGACCAGGAGTTTGAACCCAACAGTTGCTCCAAGAGAAACAGATAGGACAGTCCACTTCCATAACAATATATAGCCTTGGAAATACTATTTGGAGTTCTAGTTTGTCCTATAGGATTGTTATGGACAGTGGTGGGCTTTGCTTGGAAAGAGATCATATGTTCCTGCATCATAGAGACTAATCATAAAGTTCCCACATCACAGAGAGGGAGCTCTGGTGGCCTAGTGGTAAGAGGCTGCACTGCAATCCCAAAGTCACACAGTTCAAACCCACCAGCTGTTTCTCAGCAGAAGGATGGGCAATCTCCTTTCATGAGATTAACTGCCTCTGAAAACCTGATAGATGGTCAGCTGTGGTTTGGCTCTGACTCAACACTCAATGTTATAGAATAACAACAACAATAACATAGAGGGCTGGTGGTTTATTGGCAAAGAATTGCACTGCTCACCCAAAGGTATGAGATCTGAATCCGCCAGTTACTCCACAGGAGAAAGATGAGCAATCTCCTCTCAGGTGAATTACTGTCTCTGAAAGCCTCCAACTACGTGTCAATTCTGACTTGATGGTGCATACAACAACATCGTAGAGTGAGCTCTAGTAGCCTAGAGGACAGGGAGTCGCCTTCTCAATGAAAAGGCAGGCAGTTCAGATCCACCAACTGTTCCACAGGAGAATGATGGGCAATCTCCTCCAGTGTGATTTTTCAGTTTCTTAAAACTACTGGAAGCTCAGCTATATATCAGTTCTGACTCTACAGCAATGAGAGGAAAAGACAGACATTATAATTAGAAGCTTTGGGGGGGGGGGGAATGTACGTATATAACTCAAGTAAAGCACTCATCAGAGTGTCTAAAAGGAGTAAAAGTTCAGTAAATACTAGGGTTTTTTTTATTAGCTATCCCTTTCCCAACAAATTTTATGGGTAATGCAAAACAGTGTTTTGTTGCTAATAATGGTTAGAAGATCAAGTCCACACAGAGGTGTTTCTAAAGAAAGACCAGGCAATGTATTTCCAAAAATTCAGCCACAGAAAAGCCGATGGAGCACAGCTCTACTCTCACACACATGGAGATACCAAGGGTTACAGTTGTCTCCATGGCAACTGTTTTTCTTTCCTAGAATTTTTACAATAGTAACACAAATTCAAATACTGTAAATATTCAATAGTGAAGTGAAATGTGGTACATTCATGCAATCACTTTCCATTCAAACATTAGTTAAGGTGTAGAAAATTTTAATGACTTTAAATATGCAAGCCACATGAACACTAAATTGTATATTTAAAATACATAAGTGTTTATATGTGTGTGCGCATGCATGCATGTGTCTCACTTGCTCATTGACATCAAGTAGGAAGCAACTCATAGCTGGTTCTTCAGTGGGTTTCAGAGACAGTAAATTATAAAGGGGAAGACTGCCCATCTTCATCCCATGGAACAGCTGATGGATTCAAACTGCCAGCCTTTGTGTTGGCAACACAACTCCCTGCCCAATAGGTCACCAAAGATCCTGAGTACATGTTGATCTTTTTTTAAAAAGGAAAGTCTGGAAGTATTACATGCATAAGGATATTAACAGCAACTAACTATAGGAAGCTCTGATGGCATCATGGTAAGGAGTTGCACTGCCAGCCCAAAGGGAGGTAGTTCGTATCCACCAGATCCTCTGCAGGAGAATGATCGGCAAGCTCTCATTTGATTTACAGTCTCTGAGAGCCCATTGGAGAGTCAGGACTGGACAATACATAACAATAGCAATATCTTTAGAAAGGGAGCTCTGGTTGCCTGATCAACAGGAAATTGTCAGCCCAAAGACAGGTGGTTCAAATCCATCAGCGGTTCTGTGGCAGAAAGATGAGCAGTCTCCTCCAGTGTGATTTATAGCCTCTGATAATCTGCTGAGAGATCAACTATGATTCTGACTGGACGACAATGAGTTGGGTTTTGATCTCTAGGCAGCCAGGTTTATAATTATTCTCTGTGCTACTCAAAGTGGTTAAATATAAATATATAAAATAGGATTATTGGCAGAAGTGA